GGGGCAGTGTCGGGGATGAAGGGTTCATGGTCTTCCGGACGAGCCATGGCTTGGACGGCGAAGCTCTGTGCAAGGACCAAGTAACGACGATGCGGTGTTGGTCGTCTCAAAAAGAGGTTGAGAAAAAAAGGGTGAGCGATATTCATCTGGGATGTAATTGAGGACGTGTTCGATGTCGGATCATGTGGAAGACGTGTGCATGGGTTGGAAGTTAATGCATTCACGTTAACGCAATTTAATGCCTATTTAAGTCTACTCCTACTTGCATGTTGCATGGGCGCATTGCTAATTACTCATGTCAAATCGCTTTCTTCAGCGTGCCACAATCAATGGGCTCATTGCTTGCAGACTTGTGCTGCCTTTTCGCCGTGAGCCACTGAGGTGGTGGGAACATGCATGGGACTTTGTGGTTCATCTCACGGCGTGAGCTCTATCGAACTGGCTTCATAGCTTGTAAAGCTCCAGCTTCACGATGCAAAACCTCCCAAACCCGCACGTGTGAACCAAAACGAACCAGCAAAGTGTCTCCAGAAAAGGATCTTCCTTTTAACTGAGTTATTTCATGTTATTTCAGATTTAGATTTATTACTACTTAATGTGAGTACCGTACCTCAATACTTCTCAATTGCCTGATTCGGAATCTGCAACATCCATTTTGAATTGTTTTCTGTCATTTCTTTTTGGCATATCTCATCTTTTGCTCCCGGAACCCTTGCTCCAATTCCCGGTCAAATTGACAATTTTCAGCTCAGCTCTCAAAAGACTACTTAAGCCTTGGGAGATGTCACCTTGGCTGTTGCTTGCTTTCATGGGTCCTCTGCTTGCATGTGTGTGTGTGTGTGTGCGCCTATAAGGACAGCAATTGTATCTGCCCCACATGCCGTGCACTTGCTTGGCTTGGAAGCTCATGTGTGAGGTATGATGCAAGGACATCACCAGGCCATGGCCTCGTCTAGTGTCTAGTACAGGAGGAGTTGAAGAGTCGATCGAAAACAATCGATGTCTTTCACTGCCTTCATAGCGTCTTTAACACACCACTTCTTGCGGGAACCTTCCAGGGCTTTCACTATATGTTGCTTGAGGAATTTGCAAGCCCGCTAGCAGCCAAGGTGTTCTCACTCTGCGAAAAGAAAAAAACAATGGGAGATAAAATCCCCCGTTCGCCGTTGTGGTCGTCTGCTTAATAACCTTGCAGGGCAGAGCGGGGCAGTCACTCAAAAGAATCAAGTTGTGCTTGAGATGTATATGTTGTACTCACACGGAGGGAATGTCCCACAATCTCCTAAACTGCTCAGAAGTGGCAATGCTCCGATATTTTATCATGGTGAGGATGGCCCGTCATGTAAAAGTGCAGCAATCCTGTCCAAGTCAGCCGAGGAGTATCAAATTCGATCAAAATCGATGCATCAACCACATGTTTTGAGTTGATGCATTACTATTGCGCCCAAAAATGTCCCTCAACAAATCAAACGTATTTGCAACGTGATGCAAGTGGAGCTCATCAATGATCTGAATTCACATCTTTGGATTGCACTTTCAGGCGTGATTCAAGGACAAATCCTACATCTATCTACCAAATCTACAATGCATTTTCAGTGTTGCTACTGAAGTAGCACTGTGCATAACAGGCTCGGGCTGACCAGTCTTCCAAGCATGCCCAGCTTGTGCAATTTGCAGCGAAGTTATGTGAACATGGTGACATCCTAAAGGCATCTAAAGGCTATATAATTGGTGTCATCATATCCAACCAAACAGGTATATAACAATATACATATATAAACATTTACGACACATGCACCATGTTCATTCAAGCTCATCTGGGCATGCCAAGAGAACCTTTCTCAAAGAATGCTGTAAAAGTCCACGTGTCTGCCACTCGCTACAGGTATACTCATTGGATTTCATTGGACTTGCCAATCTTCTATGAGCAAGTCTTTCAGCGTCCTGCAGCCGGAACGGAACGGTCGGAGCGTCGGTGTCCGATCCCGTCGGTGTCCAAAACGTCGATGTGTTTCTTTGCCAATGGAAGACCATCCAGGAGTCGACCCATGTCGAGTAGAGATAGAGGAAGGTCGGAACATCAGCATCCAGGAGTTATGACGAGGCGGGCTGATCCCTCATGAGGGAGTTGCCCACCTGGTTTTAAAGGAGTTGCCCACCTGGTTTTAAAAGTAGCTTTATTAGCTTTTTGTATCTTTTTGTTGGTTACAAGTGGAATGGACAGACTACAGAATCATCAGGCAAATGTGGCAAAGAATTTACTCCTCTTAGTCCCTCTGCTCAATTGTGCTTTCTTCAATATTCCCAGAGTCTTCACCGCCCGGGGCTTGGAAATTGAGGACCTTTGTCCTGCACCAGTTGATGTCAGTTTAACAATCATTGCAACTGGCTGAAGCAACACGAGCTTGGGAGGATCATAGTTTTCGAACAGCGATGTCTTCTCTCGCAAACGACGCGAATGAGCATCTTTGAGCTACAGTCACCCAAAAAGGGAACAGAACACATACACCAGGATCTTCACCAGGCCGATCTCGGATCGATCTCGGATTTCTGGCCTTGGTCGGCCTTCATCGGCTGATGGACGCCCACTGCAAGAACTGAGACCGCAGCCTCTCCCGCTCCTGCCAGACGGTGGTTGGGAGTTCGGACCATCGGACGAATCGGTTTCTCGAAGTACGTGGAACCCCTGCACCTTGGTACGTGCTTCGGACAAACCTTCACCTGAGTGCACCTACTGTTACTAGATGTTACTAGCCAGCGGGGCACCATGTTCTGCAGTGCCAGGAATGGTGGGAAGCATCGGCCTATTCAAGGTGGAGAGTTCATCATGATCATGCGAAAACTGGGAAAGACCTGAAGGTCTGTAGAGCCAAAGTCCGATTGTGGAAGTCACCTCTGACAGTTCTGGCACTAACATGAAGCTCAATATCTCGGAACCTTAGGAGGTGCGAGGCGAATAGTGTCTCTGTTGACACAAATCTTGAGTCTGACCAGTCCCAAAAGTTTGGCATCCTAAATCTACTGGGTCCAACTCTGGCTGCCAGCAGCAAAAACCTCAAAACATCATTTACTGCATAAACAATATTGTATACTATTATATATGCAAATTTGCATAATCTGCATGTATATATACTGTATAAAATTATTACACAGATACAAATATATATATATATACAATACTGATTCGCTGCTTATATCCCCTTCCAGTAGTCCATCCCATTGACTCCCCACGTGGGGGTGGCGTCCGCACGTGGTTCCGCGGTCCAGTCCTGCTGGATGGTCTGACGGTAGGCAGGGTGTTGCTCCCGCCACTCAGCCACCTGGCTGTCTTGACCCCTCGCACTGCATGCGCCAGGTATTTTGGGAGGTGGGGTGGTGGTGGGAAAGACCCATCAACCAAAATTAATGGTCCAAAACACCAGCGCCAAACCGCATGAATGACAGCACGGGCTGATTGTTGTCCAAATATACAAGCTACACTACAAGCTACAAGCTTGCTTTACTTCTGTGAATGAGATGTGCCACGATTATCATGGGGAGAAACAGCATTAAGGATATCAAAACAAACAGGTCTCATCAAGCACATTGATGCACATTGTATGGTGAGTGATGGTGGGCGATTCAAGCAAATTTGATCATTGTAGTATCAGTATCTCTCCAACATCGACCAGTATGTACTTAGGGAACTGCATGATTATCATCCTCATCCTGTGCCACCATTCATCACCATTCCAACTCAAACATCGGACGCAACCAAGAAAACACGCCAGCGACACCGGGCGCCCTACACCCAGCGACTAGACCGAGGACATCCATCGCCCCGCCGCTGGGGGGCCTCTTCGCCATCGAGGCCCGGCGTCACGGAAGCCTCGATGCACCGGAAGGACCGAGGTGTTCTTCAGCCGTTGCGGAGGTGTCAAAGTCTTGGGTTTCGAGCTCTCAAAGGACCACATGAACAAAAGAAATAATTATCAAATAAGAATAAATAAGATATGTTCCGAATCGAGGCCTATACCAGTCCTAGCCTCCTAGCAGTCTCAAAATAGAAAAAGAAACATAAAAGAACACCACCCAGTGTCCAGTTTTGGGGTGGTTTAGGGAGTGCCTAAACAAGCCTTATAAGCCTTTCGCCGCTTGACAACCAAAACGGAATTAAGATATCAAACCCATGCTCTCTCAAAACAACTTCCCACAATTGAAGCTGAATTCTAGGATCACGTGGACACCTTTCTATGACATCTGACACCTCATATAAATGGCTGCACATGTTTGAAGACTAAGACCTTTCGCAACTTGCAACATTCGATGATGGTAGTGCACCAAAACACCTTACCCAGCCGTGTCGGTCCCCCAAGAAGAATAACAACATTAAGACAAACGGAACGATACTAGCACTAGCACAACTCCCCTTGAGTTCTGAATGTACCTGGTTATCGGACGCTTCCACCCTTCCTTGTCTCGCTTGCTTTTCTCTGCTGCACTTTCTTTGGGTGCTGGATGACGCTGAGAAGCTCTGGTAAGACACCCAGCTCGGTGTGTCTGAAGAAATGGTTGACACAAGTCTTAAGCAGCTTCTTTGACATGAATATACGCTAAACCCGCCCCCAAGCGGTGCTCCGCATCGCGCTTGAGCATGAGACACCGGTGGTAGGTCATGAACACCACATAACAGTAAGGGGACATGGTGGTAACGATGTGGAAAAGCGCATGTAAATGCAAGCGTTGAAAGATCTCCGGGTAGAAGGGGCACAGCGCGTTTTCGGGAACCCACAAGAACAGGAAGCCACCAGGATAGCCGAGAGCAGCGGTCCAGAACAAACATCTTTGCCACACCGCAGAGGCGCTCTCCTCCTTTTGGTAGTGTTGATAGACACGATAGGCTTGATGAATGATGAGAAGCACCGTGCATGCGTAAATGGCCACGAAGATGGGGAAGAAAAACGGAGATGTGAAGTAAGCGATGGCAAAGGCCACAGCATAGAGGAGTTCGACCCATGGAAGCCATGGACGCCGAGCCTGAGGTGAAATAGATAGACCTATCCCCTATACTACAGGTTTGAAAAACATCCGCTGCACGTGCAACATGTTGGGAGTTTCATGAGTACAACGGATACATTTGAAAACAACCTAATGTTTTTAGCCTTGTTCATTCCTGGCAAACCGTCTGTGCTCAAAGCACCATAGTGGCAGCCGCAGCGCACTCTAAGAACCCTCCACACAAACCAAACTTGAACATTGAACGATACATGGGGGATATCTGAACGATCTGAACGAAGCTGAACGAAGCGGAACGGCCTCGAGATGACCAATCTCAAGGACCACATAAAGGAAGGCCAAGGATGCGCAAATCATGCCCAGCTCGTCAATGGCTTGGCCAGTGGGATGTAGTGTGCCATGAAAGGCCACACTTCCAATGCCCACCACACCAATGCCCAGCCAGCACAAGTAGAAACGAAGCTCTAGTTGGTACTTGAAACACAAATAGAGCCCCCAGATGGAGACCACCAACATTGGAATGGAAGACATGGTATTGAAGAACTCAGCCACATAGCGTGTGTGAACATAGTTGGCCTCACACCAATCCACATGACTGGTGGGCTGCCCCCAAAATGGATGTGGATGGAAGCTCAACGTCTGGATGGGCCTTCTGTAGAATGGATCTCGCGGCAGCATGAGGAACGAACGCACGCGTGGTTTTGCTGGATGAGTTTCTCTGGCTTCTTGGGCAATCTACATGTGTCACTTGCAGCAAGGTCTATGGTTCCATAACTCGATGTCTATGATGCTACGGTCCAAGGTCTAGCTGCAGCCGCCTTTTATCAGAAGTCTGGGCTACCAGCATGCTACGAGACCAAAAAACACGTTCCTGCCCATTATCTCTGCTTGTATTGACTGTATTGATATGAATCCAGCATGTTTGGATCAGATTGGATCAGTATGTTTGATCTGAGGAACATGGCAAAGAAGCTGGGTAGCACGGCAAAAACGCTTGTCAACCGAAATGGAACCATGTTGCAGTACCAGTATTAATTACCATGTATTACCTAGCAAGGATCCGTCTCCAGGAACTCCATTTGCGCAACATGCTTGGTGTCTTTTTTTGCCACCGGCTCTGTCTCAAATACCAGATTCGGACGCGAGTTGTGGGTAAACGAAACAAACGGTTAGCCGAGAAACACGGCTGGCCCAACTATCACAGTATGTTCAAAGGCTCCAATTACATTGTGCAAATTTCTATAATTTTCCAGTTAATAGATATGAATAGTAGTAATTAGTCTACAGTATATAGATCCCTTCCAGAAACGTTGGCTTGTGTCATCTTTGCTGGCAGCAAAGCTCACACTGTTCTCCTATATAACCTGAAGTTGGGGAAAACGTGAACACGCTTGGCAGCCCAAGACCCATCCAAAGGAAACTCTTTCATCTGTTTCTACTTACCACTCGGAGTGCTTTTGGGAGTGCACTCATGTACATGGTTTCGAGGAGCCAAAGGAAACGTTCTCAAATCGATCGTAGGGTGTCTACATGCATGGTTAGGACGTGTCATTCATCGTTTTGATGTGTTTTGCAATTGGAGCTTTGTCTCAAGGTCTTGGCGTTTCATGGCTGAGCTAGCAACCAAAGCCAAAACACAAAGAAACCAAACAAGGCTTGCTCGTGGTCTCATTATATACAGTCCACTTTTACATACTGTGCAGGGTAGTTGCTCTGCAGTGCAGCCAGAACTGCACCTTGTGCTGGTTTGCCCATAAAGCATGCTTGCGGCAGTTTCCTTTGTCGACCATTTCAGGGTACCGTTGAGCTTTTTACAACCATGTCTGTCAGTTTCTTGGACACACTGTGCAAATGATTGTGCAACCCGGTTGCTCGTCTCCTATCCTGAAATACACCAAATAGAAAGTAGCCCTTAGGATCCCCTAGGTGTTACGCCCTTGTATCAAGTCATCGAGCACGACGGTGACTTGATGTTACGACTCGTGCGACCGGAGCTTGCGACTCGCCCGCCTCGCGTCTCCAGCCCATCTCCTCCATCAATCTCTTCGCACCTGTGGCACCGATCTCTCACGGATCTCTCACCAAACCCCATAAGTTTAACGCAAGGAGTTGGAACCTCAATGCAAAGGAGTTGGAATCTCTCCTATAAGTAACCACCTCAATGCAGCAGGACTTGGGCATATATAATCATATATCATCTACATGCTGAAAGTCCTCAATGCTACATGTTCAAAGACTTACATTTCAGTCTCAAGACTATACATCGCAGAAATCCTGAGAATAGTTGAAGTGTTGTCCAGTTGTCCAGTTGCCTGCTGCCACTTTCGCTTTCTCCTCATCTGGAGGTTCCTGGCTTCAAAGTTCATCTGGTGATCATGCAAAGCGACGATGCAGGTGCTCCATCTGTCCACTAGTCTTTTGTTTCACATGAACAAATGTAAACACACTGTGAATCTGTTCAAAAAGTAATACACACCAATATACTGTAGTAGTGTTTCATAATACTAAGGATTGTGCTACTTAATATTGATATTACAAAACACGTATGGCTTCTGAAAGCGACCTATGCCCATGCCCGAAAAAACTCGACCTCCGAGCTTTCACCTGGGAGTAAACCTATCTCTGTTCTCCTTTTTTGTCGAAATGGACTTGAGAGAGGAGGGGGTGAACGAAAGGTGGCAGGCAATCACAAGTAACCCTGGTAGAAGTCCATGACGGCGTGAACCGGCGCAGGGGGATTTGATCCAGGGGGGGGGGGGCCGTTCGTTGGACAGTTCCGGACCATGCGGCGCACAAGTAGTTAAAACAATACAAGACAACTTTTCACACAACAACTTAAACCAATCATCTGTACAAGTACACAATAATACAAGACAATTAGAAGAGAACCGGCATCTTTGGAGTGGAGACAATCACACTTCGTATGACCAAAAGAGCACTTAACACTTCTCAGATACTCAACACTATAAGAGACTTATCATTCCCAGTCGTGTAACAATCGACGATTTGAACCCCGCAGACCCCACAAACCCCGCGGACCCCGCAAACCCCGCAAACCCCGCGAACCCCGCGAACCCCGCGGACCCCGCAAACCCCGCGCACCCCGCCGACCCCGCAAACTCCGCCAACCCCGGGCCCCGCGAACCCCGCGGACCCCGCAAACTCCGCGGACGCTGTAAAACAATGCGGGCACCCAGTGAGGAAGGACCAGCGAAACTAGCCCAGCTACCAGGCCATACCATCACAAGATCCCACGTGGCCAGCTGACTTGACGCTGCCCAACAACAGCTGCCAGCCCTAGTGCCAGTACTATGTACACCAGAAAGAGTCCACGCCACATAGACCACAACAGTCCAAGCCACGGGGGCCCCCCCCCGACGAACAGAATCAACTCTTACAGGACCAAACTCAATGCACAATCCCAACTCCTGATTTTTGCTAAAGCAAGGAGAACTCAGGTAGCTCAAGCTACCTTTCGTGATCTGGTTCAGCCTCAATGGTGCAGCATAGCTTTGTGGGGTGCACACACAGGTGTACTCCAGTGGTCCACAGCCAAAACTTGTATATATATATATATTGACGGACTGTAAGTTAGAATTCGCGTTTGGTGCACGCGATACGGGTCTAATTTTGGCCCTTGGGCACGCGTGCGACTCATTCTAAATACGATGAAACCTTTTGACCACGCAATTCTATCTTACAGTCCGTCCAAACAGACTTACAAAACGGTATATTTGAGCACTATATGAGCAACAAATGTGCAAGTATAGTGATATATGTGATGTTCACTATATATATATATGTATATGTGTGAATTTCACTGTGTGTGCACAAACATTGAAGAGTACCCCCGCACATGTAACTACATGCCACACACTGCCACAATCCTGGCTCGAAGGGGGAATCAACAAGAAAAGAACTTCAAGTGAAGACTATAGCACATGTTTACATATATGTATAAGTAGTTCTATAGGCACAGTGTGCATGGTGTACCTGGCATCTTCGTTCTCAGGGAGGAATCCCTAACTCCCAGAGCCATGCAAAGGTTGGCTGAGGATTTGCTCAACCTCAACCATGTGCCCCCCCCCATTCTATCTGTTGTTTTTTTTAGTGAATTGTGCCCCGCATTCTATTGAGACGGGGACAATTTTGGTCCATGAACCCGCATTCTAACTTACAGTCCGTCAATATATATATATATATGGACTAGATCACCAACTCAGTATGCTTGTGTTACTGTTTGTGTTCTTTTGGCTTCTGACAGATCTCAACGTGGGACTGTTGTAATATGCAAATGCAGCAAACTAGTCGACAAGTCAACGAGAAAACTTCACTTCCAGCGCAACCGGACAGGACAGCGTAGTCGAGCAAGGGCACACATTGACTCACACATTGGTTTCCTGAGCATCTAGAGTCCAAATATTCCCGACTGAGAACTCCTCCTTGTAGCGGGACTCTACCCTTGCTACTGCAGTTGTTTAAAACAAAAGGAGGAAATATAAGAAACAGTCAAGCCCGAAGATCACAGCCTTTGCCCAGCAATACGTCAAACCACGCAACAGGGGTCCAAAGTGGAGGGTCATACGATTCATATGGGCAAATCCTTGCAACTGATTCAAACAAATATAGGAAAAACAATGGGACTCAAATTTGAAGGAATCAACACCTCCAAAACATTCCTTGAAGGTTCCCCATTATCCGCCCTGAATCATCCCATCCCTCCCCACTGCGTCGAAAAACGGTGGCGCGGCCTCCGAGCTCGCACGCGTGGAGGCGGAGGCGTCGCTGCCATCGGCGCAGCCGGGGTGTCCCACTGACCTGGTGGTACGGGCCGAGACGTGGTGGTGGGATGTGGTGTGCGGCTGTAGGGTCGGTATTTACATCACATCAACACCCCTGGACACACCCCTTTGAAGTGAGGTAGATCATGCCATACATGGAGAGTGTGGCGGTAGGTAGATGGACTTGGTAGGTAGATGTCTGATGTTGTTGAGAGATGTCCAGAGATGTTTCCTGTGTTCACAGGACCTGTTCGCTCCAAAGACATTTACTAGACAAAACTAACCCGGTCATGCTATGTTTGTCATCCCCTCTGTGGTCCTAAAGGTTCTCAAGCCTTTGAGACACTCATGTGACCTGCATCGATGAATATCTGCATTGTGCATGCACTGCACATGCATGGCATAGCACAACAGGTCCTAAATTATGAACCTAGCAAAGATTCAAACACAACTTGAAATTGGAATTGGCATTAAAAATGTTTCTTCAAATTTGTTGGGGTTCAGATCACATATTTTGATGCATGATTGAAATAGTAATACATATATATATATACATACACAGTAGTATTGTATTATTAAGTTGCACCCCAAACAAGATACACCCCATGTGTTGGCGCAACATTCATTGGCATACACCATTCGCTTGGCGCCCCCTGCGATGCAGCTGGTGCGTCCTGCCACATCGAACCGGTTTGGCAAAATCATGGAGAACTGGGCGCTGTGAGATAGGATAAAAATTGATCTTGTCTAGTTTGTTCCAATAGGACAATGAGGTTTCTGTCTGCGATCAAATTCACCATGTGCAGTTGTCATGGTCAGAATCAGGACCTAAACTGGAATTGCAACTTGCCCGATCCATGGGACCTGGTCCCCGGGTCCCCCTACCTACCCGGTACAGGTGCCAAATGGTGCCAGCTAGTAGAAGAACACGAACGTGGAAAGCGGGTGTCCATGAGTCTCCAAAATCCGCTGTCTCATGTGTCCTCGCAACGGCTGGACTCCGCCCGTTTGGATTCCTGCGTGGGGGGTGCCACAAGCGTGAAGACGGAAGGACAAACCCACTCTGATGGGTTTGGAAACGTCGCTGTAAGCTACTGTGCTAGTGCAACGTGCTTCTTTAAATCTCAGTTCAACTCAAAGGCCACGACCTTGGCAGGGTATTGCTGGACAATACTCTGGACAATATGAGGGTTGGAGACTCTGTCTATCCCAACATGCCAACAAAAAATACTTCACTTCGAGCGATCCCCGCCCTGAGGCGATTTGGAAGGAGGCAGGGCACATGTACTGACAGATGACTAGCCTCTATCATAAAGGCTGCTGGAGTGTGTTCTGACGTCCTTGTTGGCATGCGTTCTGACATTTTCCTGCCGTGCAGTCTGACATGTGCTGTGACAGATGTTCCTAGCATGTGCTCTGACATGTATTCTGACATTGCTCTGCCATCTTGCACAAAACTATATACTGGAATATCCTGGCATTCTATCTGGCAGAAAAGTTCTGAATTCTGACATCTATCTTGCACATATTCTGACATTCTGCTTGCAAATATTTGGGCACTCTATCTGGCATACACTCTGGCATAACTTATGTATTCCAAAATTGTATTTGGCATATGAACATTCTATCTGGCATGGATTCTGGCGTGGCATATTCAGGCATTCTATCTAGCATTTCTACCTTTCACTCGAGGTCCGGCAGTGCCCACTGCAATCCAGCGCTCGCAGTCAAGCGGTGCCCACTGCCATCCAGCGCTCGCGGTCGATGCCCGGCGGTGCCCACTGCAATGGTTGAGGCCCGGCGGTCACTGCGATCTAGCACTGGCGATTGAGGACCCGGAGGCGGAGGAGGAGGAGGCGGGACGGGAGAGCTCTGATAAAATCCAACAACTGTCACCTCGCAGGTGGGGAATTACTACTGTTTTGATACTATGAGCAGGAGCAAAGCAACATAGTCCTGCTCCACCCCATTCTCTGAATCTGAGTCTGTCCGCGAGCTCTTCTGCCGGAGCTGAACCTTGCCCTTTTTCGCACATAACCATGGCCCATGCTGGCTCGTCTCAGGTCACAGCTGCAGCTCCCGATGTAAAATTAACCACGCGCGTTTTCGTACTCAGAACAAGGCAAACCTCAGTGTTACAAGGACCATCGCAAAATAGGCTGGGCAGAACCAACAATGTTCCACTCCTTCTCAAATGTTCGTCAACGAAGCATCCTTGATTGATTATATCTGCTGCCTTCCTGCTGCCTTTCCATGAATTGTTCGTTTTCGTATTCAGGCTCCCAAACAGCTATCAACAACGACGTGTCAAAACGAGGAGATCGACATTCTGAGGACTTCGCTGCTTTCGGGCAGATCCGAAGATCTGATTCTTGTCCACCTGATGCAGCACGAACACCGAGACTTCAGAGTGTGGGTTAAAACATGGGTTGCAAAGGTCAATGATCGAGATCTGTTGGTCAACGTGGTTCAATGTTCTTGAGACAACTGAGACAACATGAGTACTCCCAAGCCCAACAACAATGTTCTCTGTGGAACAAAAAAGATTACTGTAACAATTTCCCACCAGTTCTTGTTTACTGGGGGAAACCAACCCCCAAAAAGGATCAAAAAGGTTAAATGTTAGCCACTGACCGGGTAGGGTATCATTGAGATGGTCAAGTTTTGTGCCTCCTGATCAAATAGAAGAACACATGTGACATGTGCCTGATGCTCTCTCATCGGCACTGCCACACTCCGACGCTGGCAAAGAATCTCCCACCTATTACCTGGTGGGCCCCCAAAGCCTAACCACAAGCCCCTGCACGAGAGACAAGACAACTGACTGGGAGCACATATACATCAATATAAACATCCCCACTATATACAATCCCTGAACTCATCATTGCTCATCACCACCTGCCGAGTCTTTTGGATTTCATGGTCCTCGTTTTGGAGCTCAACATAGCACTAACCTATAAACCATAGATTTTCCGAAGTTCCCTTCGATCCAGTCCACCTTGAGGACATTGAAGCGCACCGTTTTCGCCAAGGGTCGGCACTGCCCTGCGGTGATGATGTCGCCCTGCCGCCGGCAACAACAACAACCGGTCGGACACGAAGCCTCTGGGAACCGTCAGTCTCTGTTCAAGCTTTGCGTTCAGTTCCAGTCCATTTCTCCTTCACCTCACGGCCGCTGTAAAAAAGAGAACACCCGCTCCACCTCCTTGGGCTCAAAGGCCGGGGAGCAGTGCACGGCCACGTTGCTGTGGCGCTTCTCGAAACGGTTGAACTTCCTTGGCCACCGCATGCCACGGTGGTCTCTCGCCGTCGGGTTTTCTGGCCAAGCTCGCTGTCGCAAAAATCAGCCGTTTCTTGTGTTGGATCAATCACTACAGGAAGACCCAGTATCACATCTTCACCCTGGATCTAGGCGGTCCGACCGAAAAGGAACCCCAAAGAAAATGCTTCTCGGCGTTCGTGGGAACCGAAGGAAGCATGGAAATGCAATGTCTACACACGAGGACAGAAGAGCTCCTCGGTGCCTTGTCCATGCAATTTTCACATGTGATCAACAAGTGTTGTTTTGCAATGCTCCAGATCAGATTATTCAATAGATTTCAAGAGTAGGCCTGACTGTCCTCAAACAACACCTTCTGGTGACGAGGCCAAAGAAGGCCTCCCTGACTGAGACGTTCTCTTGCCCGAGACGCTTGATGTAGTGCAAGTAGTTTCGGCGGATGATGATGGTTCGCCTCGAATGAGCACTAGACTAGCAAGTTTACAGTTCAGTTCTGAGTTCTGTTCATGATGTGGCCGGATGTTGAGACATCCCTGGAGATACAACAACAACCAACATCCAACAAGAATCTTGTGCAAGACCCTCTGACCTAGGAACAGCTGCATGGCGGTGCACCTCACCTTCACAGCCTTCACGACTCTTATGATATCTCTTGATCCTATTCTGCTGGTTCTCCAAGGTCCATGTGAAAATGGGTCTCTAGACTAAAGCCGCTGGGGCCTGGAGCTTTGTCCGCTTTTTGATTCGCATCACTGAGGCGGGGTCTTCATCTTGGTAGAGATGCACATGCCCTTCAGGATGGAACCACGGATGCTGACATTCCTCAGGAACTGCCAAGAAGAGACAGCTATGGGTCTGTGAGGGAAACTAATTGCTGTAGTTATTATGGAGTACTTCTTGAAGGTGGGAATTCCACCTTGTGGAATCATCGTCACCAAAGCTGGCTCAGCCACCCCACTTGCGAGATCCGGGTGTCACCGGCTGAGAGACCGACCCAGTGAAAGGGCACTTCTTGTCCACGAAATTGCCTATGGCCAATCACCCCAAACCCAACGATCAGCGCTGCTTTCCGAACTGTAAAAGAGTATTGAAGGTGGGCGTCTCCAAAGCGCAACCTTTTCCCAGTTTCTCTACAGTTCTTTAAGGAACCTATATCAAAATCATGGCGCACCAATGGATTGCTGTTGCCAAATATTCCTTTGGTTTCTTGATGATCAGGGAGAAATGATGAGCAAATAACAATATATTTAGTGGGTTCATCACACCACACCAGCCATGAGGCAACATGCAATGACCTTCCTCTGCCCGGGCGGCGCACCTTCCTTGGCCTCCTTGGGGGTGGGAATGCCCAAGCCGATGTTGCGCCAGTACCTCACCGTGGTGCTCGGGTTGCAAGTCATGCCTGCAGCAGCCTCCCTGGAAGCATCGAAGACTCCAATGTATCTCAACAAAGTTGAAGCAAGAAGTATCAAGAAGTGTGAGAATGATGTGGTATCAATCAATTCTTCCGGGATTAGGTCATCACTTAACAAAAACTATCCAACGTCCTCTGCCAAAAGCACCTGCCTCAACCAATTGTTGCTGATCTGAGGAACCTTAAACCCGCTTGATACATCACCGGTTACATTATGTTACAGTACATTAAAATCCATTATAAACCCTTAAATTCCTTGAAGCATAGCGACCACCCACCCCATCCAGGCACCTGCTGTGCCAAACCTCAAGTTCAACTACGTACTTCGCCAATCCGTAAATTGTTCCGACCCTGCCCCACCAAATCCAACCTTAGGAGCTCCACTCACCGTGCTCCCTCGCGCCTGGCGGCCTTCTTGGATTTCTTGGTCAAGAGCCGCTTGGAGCCCAGGAAGACCGCGTCCTGAACGAGTGCGAAACCGTGCGCAGAACGTCGCCGCCTGGCCTCAAATTGTTTAAAGGGAATCTTTCGTAGATGCCAGAATGCCAGGATAGGGACTTATCTCCAAGCACTTACGGTAAGGGATTCTGCAACACTGCATGGATCCGCTCTCATGACAGGCTGCGGAAACGCACGCCGGCCAATGAGGATCGTCCTGCTTCTGGAAAGCCTTCTCAGTCTGATCCATGGTGCCTAAGTCTGAGAGGCTCAACGGAAGGCCTCGGGCCCCAAATTGGTATAACTGATATGTCACCCTGTACTGTCCATTTATTTATGTGTTATGTAGCAGATTCGATGTAGATGTAAAAACTGGATTAAGGAATTTGGGATTTAACGATCCTAATCCTGTGAGTACATTGTGTAAAAAACAACAAAAACATCCAAAATACACTTTATGTTGGAACTTGTTGGAACTATCATGAACTATCCATCCAAATACCCCATAGTCGAAGTGTCAACATGTGCCGACTCCGCAAGATGTCCCACGTGCCAACGTGTTCGTTTCACCTCCTGCAAATCCATGGGACTGGTCGAGTGCACTTGGTTTCGTCGTTCTCGGTGCACCACGAGCGAGTTCCAGGTGCGTCGTACGAGTGGCGGCTGTTCCCTGTGAGCCAGAGCGGCGGTGAACGACGGCACGACGGCATCACGAAGCTGGCACCCATCACGCCACGTCCTCTCGGTATAGTGTTTGGCTGTAGACTCAAGGACCTGGTCCCCCTACCTACCCGGTACAGGTGCCAAATGGTGCCAGCTAGAAGAACACGAACGTGGAAAGCGGGTGTCCATGAGTCTCCCAAATCCACTGTCTCATGTGTCCTCGCAACAGCTGGACTCCGCCCGTTTGGATTCCGGCGTGGGGGGTGCCACAAGCGCGAAAACGGAAGGACAAACCCACTCTGATGGGTTTGGAAACATCACCGTAAGCTACTGTGCTGGTGAAACGTGGTGTATTTATTGACTTCAACTTCAACTCAACTGCCATGACCTTGGCAGGGTATTGCTGGACAATATGAGGGTTGGAGACTCTGTCTATCCTGACCATACAACAAAAGATAGACAATGGTAGACACTTATACAAGATTATACAAGTAGACTTAGACTACTGTATATAGATACTACAGGCAGAAGCAATGCAACGTGGTCCTACCCCACCCCAACTAGAATCTGTGTCTGTCTGCAGAACCTCGCCATGTCTTTTCTTGCACATAGCCATGGCCCTTGCTGGCTCGTCTCAAGTTACAGCTGCATTCCCGATCCAACAACGCGCTCGTACTCAGAACAAGGCAAACCTCAGTGTTCCAAGGACCTCCATCGCACAATAGGATGGTGTTCCACATGTGCTGTATATTGTATATATGTTTACCAACCTGTCTGGGCACCAAATTCACTACTCGCAATCTATGACCTGCTCAATGTGTGATGGTTTGTTTCTCGAAGGGTTTTCATCCATGGGACCTTGTTCAATCTTCCAGTCGGTACATGTCTGGGCACCACCAAACAAATTCCACTCCTTCTCAAATTGTTCGTCAACGAAGCATCCTTGATTGATTATATCTGTTGCCTTCCTGCTGCCTTTCCATGAATTGTTCGTTTTCGTATTCAGGCTCCCAAACAACAACGACGTGTCAAAACGAGGAGATCGACATTCTGAGGACTTCGCTGCTTTCGGGCAGATCCGAAGATCTGATTCTTGTCCACCTGATGCAGCACGAACACCGAGACTTCAGCCTGTGGGTTAAAACATGGGTTGCAAAGGTCAATGATCGAGATCTGTTGGTCAACGTGGTTCAATGTTCTTGAGACAACTGAGACAACATGTGTACTATACTCCCGAGCCGTTTTCTGTGGACAATCAAGGTCACTGTAACAATTTCCCACCTGTTCTCGTCTACTGGGGAAGCCAATCCCAAAACAAGGTTAAATGTTAGCCACTGACCGGGAAGGGTATCTTTGAGATGGAAAAGTTCTGTGCCTCCTGCTCAAAAAGGACAACACATGTGGCTGATGCTCTCTCATTAACACTGCTAACCTAGCCGAGTCTTTCAGATTTCATGGTCCTCCTTTCGGAGCTCAACAAAGCACTAACCTATAAACCATAGATTTTCCGAAGTTCCCTTCGATCCAGTCCACCTTGAGGACATTGAAGCGCACCGTTTTCGCCAAGGGTCGGCACTGCCCTGCGGTGATGATGTCGCCCTGCCGCCGGCAACAACAACAACCGATCGGACACGAAGCCTCTGGGAACCCAAGCAAAACCCGCCATGAAAAAGGCTGCAACAAACGTCATGCGTCCCTTTATTTCTATATGCAAAGTTGGCTGATTTCGAAGTATCCACTCCAATCTGAACCCTGTTTCACGAATTATATACCAACCACACCGCTTGGGAAACTTTGAGAAGCCCTTCTTGAGCACAGGTTACGTCGTTACACTCACTGGCTTTACCCGGAATGGTTCTCCGACAAAAAAATAAGGAAACGTCAGAGTTCACTGTCCAGTACTGTAAACATACACCAAGTCCCGACACTCTCTGTAATGACAGTCAGTCTCTGTTCAAGCTTTGCGCTCAGTCCCAGTCCATCTTTCCTTCAACTCACAGCCACTGTAAAAAAGAACGCCCGCTCCACCTCCTTGGGCTCAAAGGCCGGGGAGCAGTGCACGGCCACGTTGCTGTGGCGCTTCTCGAAACGGTTGAACTTCCTTGGCCACCCTATGCCACAGTGGTCTCTCGCCGTCGGGTTTTCTCGCCAAGCTCGCTGTCGCAAAAATCAGCCGTTTCTTGTGTTGGATCAATCACTACAGGAAGACCCAGTATCACATCTTCACCCTGGATCTAGGCGGTCCGACCGAAAAGGAACCCCCAAGAAAATGCTTCTCGGCGTTCGTGGGAACCGAAGGAAGCATGGAAATGCAATGTCTACACACGAGGACAGAAGAGCTCCTCGGTGCCTTGTCCATGCAATTTTCACATGTGATCATGTTTTGCAATGCTCCAGATCAGATTATTCAATAGATTTCAAGAGTAGGCCTGACTGTCCTCAAACAACACCTTCTGGTGACGAGGCCAAAGAAGGCCTCCCTGACTGAGACGTTCTCTTGCCCGAGACGCTTGATGTAGTGCAAGTAGTTTCGGCGGATGATGATGGTTCGCCTCGAATGAGCAGTAGACTAGCAAGTTTACAGTTCAGTTCTGAGTTCTGTTCATGATGTGGCCGGATGTTGAGACATCCCTGGAGATACAACAAACGACCAACATCCAACAAGAATCTTGTGCAAGACCCTCTGACCTAGGAACAGCTGCATGGCGGTGCACCTCACCTTCACAGCCTTCACGACTCTTATGATATCTCGTGATCCTATTCTGCTGGTTCTCCAAGGTCCATGTGAAAATGGGTCTCTAGACTAAAGCCGCTGGAGCCTGGAGCTTTGTCCGCTTTTTGATTCGCATCACTGAGGCGGGGTCTTCATCTTGGTAGAGATGCACATGCCCTTCAGGATGGAACCACGGATGCTGACATTCCTCAGGAACTGCCAAGAAGAGACAGCTATGGGTCTGTGAGGGAAACTAATTGCTGTAGTTATTATGGAGTACTTCTTGAAGGTGGGAATTCCACCTTGTGGAATCATCGTCACCAAAGCTGGCTCAGCCACCCCACTTGCGAGATCCGGGTGTCACCGGCTGAGAGACCGACCCAGTGAAAGGGCACTTCTTGTCCACGAAATTGCCTATGGCCAATCACCCCAAACCCAACGATCAGCGCTGCTTTCCGAACTGTAAAAAAGAGTATTGAAGGTGGGTCCCCCAAGCACAGCCTTTTCCGAGTTTCGCTGGTGTTAAGGGACCTATTCAAAATCATAGCAATTCTGGAGTTGACAACCGAATGACAATTCATGGAGAAATGATGAGTATATAATGGGTTCATCACACCGCACCAGCATGAGGCAACATGCAATGACCTTCCTCTGCCCGGGCGGCGCACCTTCCTTGGCCTCCTTGGGGGTGGGGATGCCCAAGCCAATGTTGCGCCAGTACCTCACCGTGGTGCTCGGGTTACAGGTCATTGAGTCATACCTGCAGCAGCCTCCTCGGAAGCATCAGCATCTCCAAGATCTTCTATGTATCTCAACAAAGTTGAAGCAAGAAGTATCAATAAGTGTGATGATGTTGGGAGAACATCACAATCTGCAAGTTGGTGTCCGATGTGTTATGTATTTATATATATAAAGACTCAACTCTGCTGCCTCCTTTTTTGTTGC